GGATTTTCATCAAACATTAAAGTATAAACTCTAAGCTCTGAATCCGTACATATCCAAATATTGTTATTATCTTAACTCTTCGCGTTTATATACTATAGCCGGAGTAACGCATTAATAACTTTCCGACGATCTGATGCGAGATATCAAAACACGATGAGTAAGAGGAAGGTGCAATGTTTGTGCTTTTATAAAGTCGAAAATAGCTGAAAAAACAAATTTGCCTTTAAACTGAATTCCTGAACAATCACAGCGCTGGTGGTGCGATGGACAGAGTTGAATGCAACTAAACTTAAAAACTACCACTTCTTTGGGATTAGATAGTCCACTTCTGAATATAAAACTTAAAAACTACCGAACGGTTACTTACAATTTTAATCTGTAGACAGAGTTGATATAAGGAAAACAGGAAAACGATAAAATTCCATATTGTTTTGTAAAAGCATCAATGTAGAAGTTGTGTACGAAGTTTTGTTCTTAATTTGGAATTGCGCATTTTTCCTTGTTGCTTGAATAAAGTCAGGGTGCTTTATTAGTTTTATTAATATTCTGTTATAACACTGAAAGTCTGATACGTGAACACGTTGTTTGTGTCAAAGTTTTCTGAGACAGAAACGATAATAAGGATCGTGTTACAGTATATTGAGTTGATACTGAATGCACGCACTTTTATGGACATTTAGGTAAATTACATTCTTTCATGTTTTTACATTTAGGGACGTTGAGTATTGTGGAGTGTGGCTTTCTCTTTAACATTTATTAAGTTTTTAACGTGCGATATAATACTTTTTAACAAGAACAATTGCTAAATTTAACGTATTATATATCAAGAGTTGCGTTGTTGTTTACGTAAAGAAACAAAATTGACAAGAATATTAGTAGTCTATCTGTCTTGATAAAGTCCTAGTAGTTCTATTTTTATTGCTGTTTGGATTGAAAAACATGTTTTGATGAAATGATGACGTCATATTGTTTTTTATTTCCTTCTCAAACAGTCTAAAATGCACTAAATACATTATTCATTCTCATCACAGTTCGTGACATATTCAAATGCATAAACAATAAAATATTTATTAGTGTTGCGGCAAATCTAATCTACCGCCTTTATTCGTCACCGTCAAGTGTTTCTGTAGGAGGAATAAAATTATATACCGAACGAGAATAAAGCTCGAACAAATGTTTTTAATAGCGTATTCGTCCTTCTATTCATTGTAATAACATTGGAGACAACATGTAGGTGGCTGATTGGTCATACGTTGTCAATTTAATAACCTTCTCACAAGTGGTTGGCGTTGTTTAACTCAATTTATGTTTGCTGCAGATTTGAAACTTAACTTTGCATATTTTTAATGTGAAATATACATCGGAGCGTCGGTGGCTCAGTGGTCAAGCACTTGATTTGCAATCTGCAGGTCCTGGGTTCGAATCCCGCCATGTACCAATGTGTTTTTCGATTTCCGATTTACATATGTGCATTTATCCGACGTTCTTACGGTAAAGGAAAACATCGTGATGCAGTCTGCACATATCTGAGAAGTAATTCAAAGATATGTGTGAAGTCAACCAACCTGCACTTGGCCAGCGTGGTTGACTATGGCCTAATCACCCTTAACTTGGGGTAGGCTTCGAGCCCCTCGGTGGGGACGTATAATGAGCTGATCATGATACATTGGAGAATTTTCTTGAGTAGTTCTTTGTAATGTAACATTCTTGTTAATATTACTTCTTACTAATATTATAAATGCGAATATTTAGTTGGATGTGTGGATGTTTGTTTGAAGGTATCTCGGGAACGGCTCAACGGATATTGATGAAATTTGGCACAGATGTAGAACATAGTCTGGAAAAAGACATATGTTACTTATTAATTTTTTTAATTCAATTACATTTATGTAAATGGTTTAATCTATACTTATTTTTCCATATTTAGTTAAATTAACAAAATTTTACTGTTACTGGTTCTCTTATTTTGATATTATGTGATTTTTTGGCATATTACATTATAATTTTTTTTTATGATATAGTCTTGTTTACTTAACTGTACCCAGTAAGTGCACAGTCAAGCAGGTAAGTGATAAATTACAGTATTGTTAGGTAAAAAAATCTTTAAATTAAATAATTAAAATTCTCTGCATACTTAGTGTAACCATCAATAATTACCAGTATATCAGCAAGGCGGAATGCAATTGATGTTTACCTATTCGTTACGCTATAATAGTACTAACAATTGTTTACCTTCATTTGTTAATACTTCAAATATTTTTATTCTATTTCAATTGTTTTAAAAAAATCTTCCTATTTGTTTTATCGAGAATACCACAATATTAAAATAAATTTAAAGCTACTATAAATGTCCTTTTGGATAAAATCACGGAACACTTCGACTCTAATTAAGGAATGGCTATGTAAATATCTATATATTTTTAATTTGCTGACGTTCACCGACAAAAAAAACTTAATAAGTGGCCTATGTGTTCTTCCGGACTGTTTTCTACATCTATGCCAAATTTCTGCGAGATCCATTGAGCCGTTCCGGAGATACCTTCAAACAAACATCCATCCATGCATCTAAATATTCGAATTTCTAACATTAGTAAGATTACTGTATAAAATAATATAATGAAATATTATGTAATATTTAAGTATACGACTTCATTCATTGAATGGTCATCCAAAAAAATTCGATGACATAATATTCATACAAGATTCAAGTATAACTCAGAAGGCCAGGCTAAATCAATACTTCAGCATAAATCGAGGCAATTTTTAATATTATATTTAAAAATTCTACGTTCGTTTCCTATAAATATTTGTCGATTAAAATAAACGGATGCTTCTACGTTGCGCCAAATAAACATAACGCATCCGAAACATTTCCACAATTTCATGTTACAATATTATGTGGGTTATAAATTATAGAACGATGTTTAAAAATGTTGATTAATGACGACTAAGAATTTGTTTTTACTACTCTGTTAAGATTATTCACTTTTTTCCTATCTTTTAAAAGCCGACCAAATAATATTATGAAATTTAAAAATCTTTTAAACATGTCACATTCAATTGCAACACATATTTGTCTACTAGCTGTCGCCCGCGACTCTTTCCGCGCTGCATTAAAAAAAACATAATTAGTAGCCTATGTGTTCTTCCAGACTATTTTCTACATCTATGCAAAGTTTTAGCGAGATCCATGCATCCTTTCTGGAGATACCTTCAAATAAACATCCATCCATCCATTCATCTAAACATTCGCATTTATAATATTACTAAGACTAGTAACATTAATATTCAAAATCAGACAATTCTATATTAAAAACACTCAATGAAATAAATATTTTTTTATTTAAAAACAATATTTATGGAAACCCCATTTAAAATGAATGAATTTTCTTTGAATCAGTTGACATTGATGAGCGATGTTTCAAGTCAGTAAACGTGACAGTATTTAAGAATGGGATGTGTAAATTTGAAACTTGGTACAATGTTTCAACGTATTTTCAGTGCAAGAAAAACAGGAACCCCTTTTTGTATTAAACATTAACTATCGAGAGAAAAGTCAAAGAAATGGGCGCGCAGCCAAGTGACACGACACTGTTTTAAAATGGCGCTGCGTTCGGTTTAATAGGGTTGCCAACCGTTCCAGAATTCAGGGGATACCAGGATTAATTTAACTCTTATTCTCTCAACCCACATTTTATTTATGTAAGCAGAAATTATGATGTTAAAGAAATGTTATTTAAATTAAAAAAAATATAAGACTACAAAAGTAATAATTGATTCTCAAAATATTAATTAAATATTTAACTAAGATTTTCTTCATTTAATATTTGTTTTATTGGTTTCATTCCAACATTCCAACGTATTTTATAAAGAGCTCTTGGCCCTTTTGTTAACCCTACGTCCGCTTTGCAATCGGGTTTAATAAAGTAGATGTTATTGACAGACGATGGCTATGTGGAAAGTTTTCACGTAATACAAAAGTATATAATTTATAATAAAATATTTAAAAAACCATCCCAAATTTTCGCCTAAAAATCTTAATTTACTGATTTATCATGGGATTTCTTACCTAAGGAATGTAGGGTCGATCGGTGCAAATTTACTTGTCTGTTCTGCATACGGAATTGGCATTCTCTTCTTTGGTATTGCATCGTTAGGTACATTGCAAGCTGTCCTATTTTTCCTGTATAAAAATAACAGCACGAAATTTTGAAACGCGTGTTTGGTGCATATATTAGTCAAAGTAGTGTTCTCAATATTACATCTAATAATGTTATGAAGTAATTAAGGGTTTGTTCTAAGGGACATAACCAAAAATTCGTATTATTTTTTAACTTGTAATTAAAAAAAATTTAAACATCGTTTGATCTGGTGCGGATTCCTATGTTTATCTAAGCCGTCAAAACAGACCTTTTATATTGTTGCGACTATAACGAGCGTGTTGTTTGGCTGTGTGCCAATTGGTCCATTTGACGGCACAACGCCGGAATGATTCCGGTTCACGGTTCGTCTACACCGGACCGAAGTTTCAAGCATTGGAATTGAGGTTGTGTCAAATGTACTACACGTTCTTGAGTTAATGGGCCCAGGAAACACGGTGCGTGCGGACCGTTGCGAGTAATTAATCTCGCGTCTTAATAGCATTCAGTTTAGTTCATTACGAATTAGGACTCGGCTCATAGCTCATTGCGAATCTTTATTTGAACTAAGACTAGGCTTTATTTCTTCAACATATAGTGATGAAAGCGTAATTTTATGTGACTAAACGCACCGTGGGCGTGCAAGTACATTTGGAGCCACCGTACACGGATTGCATAGGAGTCCGTGTTTGCCGGCCCTTACGAATCTGACTGTATGCAGTTCTAAGTAATCAATAAGACTTTTCAACATAGACAATCAGAAAATACCAGTGTTGGACATGATAAGTCGACTAAATAGTCAAAATTATCTTCAAACTTATTATGTAAAATTTATTGAATATTTTTATTCTCTTTTTACAGTTCAACTTCGTGGGACGGATTCTAGGTCCCAGGGGTATGACCGCTAAACAGTTGGAACAGGAAACGGGATGCAAAATCATGGTCAGAGGAAAAGGATCCATGAGAGATAAGAAAAAGGTAAACCGACTCGATAACATTCTTTGTTCCCGTCTTACTTTGCTTGTTAAACAAATACTTTGTGCAATCTACGATAATCGTACTAGATATGTATGTTTACTAACAATTTGTCATTTTTCATGCAGCTTTTGGATTTGCTGCAGGAAGGATTATAAATCTTCTTTGTAATTTATTATGGGTAAAAAATTTCTTCTTTAAAATGTTCTGTGTAATAATTAAAGTTCATTCAAATGTTTTAATATAAAAAGCTATTGGTTCTCATAGTTGAATAACCTTAACCCTCACTAGGGAAAAATCTGTATACAAATTTCTTTTCACAATTTAAATCTAAATTAAAAAGGTTAAAATATTGGTATTAATCAGGTTCCATAGCAGTTCTAATGGTTTATTAATTTCATTATCATGGAAAGTAACTGCTCAACCTTTTGTCGTTCAGTTTTGTTCAATATCTCAATTAACTCGTCTTCATTCCAGGAGGATGCGAACCGCGGCAAGCCAAACTGGGAGCACCTGGCTGATGACCTGCACGTTCTACTCACAGTAGAAGATACTGAGAATAGGGCGAAGATAAAACTCGCCAGGGCTGTCGAGGAAGTCAAACGTCTGCTTGTACCTGTAAGACAAAAATTATATCAGAAATTAATCACAATACATTTGGGACCCGAAATCAAAATTAATCTGTTTTAAATCTAAAAACTAAAAAAACTGTTAGACTACTGAAGAGTCAGTTCATAGTTCACAACTCATATTGGGCCAGCGTACTAAAATAAATCTTAATCACCCCTAAGTTAGAGTAGGCTCCAGTTTCTATTTGTGTTTGTATAGCTGACGACGATATGACTGTTTGTTGCAAGATTAGTAATCGTTGTGATTCATTTCAGCAAGCGGACGGCGAAGACGAGCTGAAGAAGCGTCAACTGATGGAGTTGGCCATCATAAATGGCACGTACCGCGACTCCAGCGCGAAGGCCGTCGTGCCCGTCAACGGTCAGTGCCTCATAAGTATGGAAACCTTTATGTTTTGTCACTAACCACTTACATTAAGAAACTAAGGCCCCTTTTCCACTAACCAGACACTGCACCTCACTGCCACACCTATTGTAATATGAATAAGGTGACTAAGCTAGTCATTTAGTGGAAAAGAGGTCTAATTGACCTAACAACAATCATCAACTTATGCTCCTTAAAGTTATGTTTTGAGAAAATGTTAATGCCAGTGCCTTCTGGGAAGATAACAGAATAGGAAAAAATGTAGGCAAATATTTTCTCTTGACATACTTTGAACATTTTAAATTATTTGTAAATAAATTTGACACATTTTATAAAATGAACTCTCGCCAACGCATAAAAAAATTCCATGATAGTTCTCTTCATCTATTCTGTGAAATTATGCTATCATAGTTAATTTTTTAGGACTACTTTAGAAAATAGCTTGTTTTACTTTGCACATCGCCTTTGGGTTTGTTGTTCTGAATTTGTGACTATTTTTAACAGATCTGAGTCATCTCTTGCACCGTTACGATGACTAACTAAATTGATTTGTGGCTTGTTACGGTTATTAATTATTAACATGGGTGACTTCATTTCTTAGTGGCACCTTGTTATTATGATTGTGCACCTTCAACCGATACGGAGTTTAGTATCCAGAGTTACATTTAGTGCATATACTATTCTTAATTTAAGACTTAAATTCTTAATTGAACAATTATTTCTTTGATAAGACCTCATGACCTCATGCTTCTATCAATACGGTCAATTACCATCTTTGTTTTTGATACCGCAGTATGTATATGTTTATTATTTATTTAAGACCATATCAATCTACTAGTTTGTCATTACCAACTTTCATGTCCATCCGCAAAGTCTAGTATAAGGTTAAGTTTTTTTTTAATTATATTTATTGTGTAATATGGAAAACTTTGCAACAAATCCCACATTGCTGATGCGTTTAAGGTGACTTCACAGCGGACGAGGAGTGGAGGCGCGTTGCTGCCGCAGCGGCGGAGACACAGCGTCTGTTGGCGCCACAAGGCGGCGTGGGCAGTGTAGCTCTCCGCACTCAGGCGCCGCTTGGGGCGCCCCTGATATTGTCACCCCGCATGTCCGGTCCTGGCGCCCAGGCAGGCCTGCTGAACGGTGGAGGTGCGGGCGCCGCGGCCGGGCTGCTGTCCCCGGGCGAGCCGGCGCACCAGCTCATCTACGCGTCTCCGTACGCTGACTACGCGAACTACGCAGCGCTCACTGCGGCCGCTAACCCGCTGCTCACGGCCGAGTACGCCGCCGCTGACCATACCGGTGGGTTGTTCGCCCGTTGATTACACACCTTTTGATAGCATCTCGTAATCGGTTGTTTGGTAGAAAGTTCGATTTTGTACGCTTTAACACTTTCAGTGCCTACTTGCCTGACGTGTTCATACGAAAAAATCGTAGCAGCAGTGAAAGTGTTAATATTAAAAGCGCACTTTTATAACATTTCTATTGATCCATTGATACATTTAGTGCGTTATATACATACATACATATTTTTTTATTATTTTAGTGTATTTTAATTCTATTCGCGTTATCATTCATTTGCTCTGCAGAAGCAATTATTTATTGAAGATGCTATCAAACAATACACTAATGGAACATTCACACGGTATCAGGTTCTTTTCAAATCAAAATTTAATTCTACAACTAGAACAAAATGTCGAATCTTATTGTCAAAATTGTTTTTTTTTGGTATTCACATTGCCAATAGCAATTTTTCTATCACAATTTTCATTCAGACACTGCATGCGTAAGTAAATTAGAAATTTTCTTGACTCAATTTTTTTTAATGTTGCATGCCTTTTACTCTGTGGTTTTGTCAGGCTTAGCTTGTCTTGCCTGTTTAACTAAAATTCAAATGCCCCATTCTACAAATTAATTCGAAAGTTAATTTCAAATTGAAATACAGATAATTAAAAATTTAAAAGTAATTATTTTAATCTGTAATCTAACAATGATACCGGCGATACACAGCAACTAACCGACTAATCCAAAATGGCGTCGAGTTTATTTGAACTGTGTGAATAAAACGTTTTGATGGGGTTACAGCGTCAAGGTATCTGCTCGCTGGCTTTTGACAATGGCCGCAATCGCACCAGACCACAATAAGGCACGACAGGAATCGACAATCTCCGTATCGTCTCCAACATTTATACCGTCCTTAAGTTCCGCGTCTGCGATCCGTTGCGAGGGGCGCCATCTACACTCATAAAAGCCATGCATATGCATACATTAAGATAATATATTTTATTTTAAGTACGACTTAGTCTAGTGACTCGAATATTTGTACCTTCGATGTTTATAATTTTAGACGATCTTTATAACCTACATCCGTTTTGTACAGTTAACAAAAAAATTAAGTTTATGAACAAACTAAAAAAAATATTATTTAGCAGATTTTTTAATATTTATATTATTTTTTTTATTTTACAAATATTTATTGCGAATTTTATTTGACCGTTGTCTCGTGTTAAGAAGGCATGGAAGTTGTTTCGTTATTTCTAGTTAAATATTTTAGTTTAATCATTTGAACTGCCAATAGAAACGTTTCAAGTTACCGATATTTCATATACAAAGATGTAGATTGTTTATAATTTTTATTTATTATATATTTTTTTTTCGTAGACAAAAATATTTAAAAACATATAATATATCTTTATAACCCTTGCTTGTAACATAACTAATATATTAACAATATGTTTATCAGAATGTATGTTTTTGAACTTAAAGTTATTAGTTTTCACAAACCATTGAAATCATCATCTTGCATGAACTATATTAGATTTTCTTTTGATATTTTAATGTGAATAACAATTCGAGTTTTTATTAACCACCAAAATCTCTGAATGACGAATTATTTTATATATTCGGCGATTACAAGCAAAAGGGACCAATTAAAAAATTTATTAAAAAATCCACATACGAATATAATATTTTTAACTATTTAATAACACTGACATTTTTTAATATTTACTATATACGAACAATTCTAGAACAATCTAGGCGGTTTATACGAGATTTTTTTTTAATTTTACGTTTTATCAAACTACAATTTATAATGTTATATTATTGATGGTAATTTATTGATTTATTTAGTAATTTTATAAATTTTTTTTATAATATTTATAAACATACCATAGATTTAAGTATTATTATTATCTTTGAAAGATTTATTAGTTAGTATAAAAGAGTGAGCTTTATAAAAATATACAGCCTTTTATATTTAGATATATCGGCAGAAATGCTGCTAAGTCAGATTAAAAAAAAAGAAATTAATAAACCAGCCATCGCCTGTACCTTGAAGGGATAAATACCCGAAAATTTTTCAGTAATTATTTTTTTTTCATAATTTTATTTCCAAAGCATTAAATTAACTATAAGTAAATTATAGGATTAAATGAGTAGACGTTAGTGATGCTGCCAAATTAAAAAAAAAATAGTCGCGTCAAAAAGTTGGCTTAGAAAAATGAAAAAGAAAATATTTGGCAGTGATAATATATTCGAATATAGATAAGATATTAAAAGTTTAAGAGATTAGTATATATGCCATTTAAATTTAATGAGATTACATTTCTTTCCAGCATTTATGGAATAAGTTTGGTCACCCAAAAAAATCCATACAAATTTTTTCAACAGTAAAACCAAATGCATATTTATTGTATTAAAAATATTAAAAATAAAATGTGAAATGTATTCGTGAGTGTACAATTGCAGTTTATTCTTCGAGAATGTTCGACAGATTTGGAGAATGTTGTGTGTAAAGGCAGATTATAATGTGGATGTGCCGCTAGGTGTGGTGCGGCGCGGTCGTCTCGCGCAAGTGCGGGAGCATCCGTATCAGCGCACCGCACTACCCGCGCCCTAATTCACGCAAACGCTCTCCATCCGCCATTTTATTGACAAGGTAAAAAGCGCGCGCGCACGCATGCTCTCGATGAATACGCTTGCAATTTTTATTTAACTTTTGTATAAATGTGTAACTTTCGTGTCTATCAAGTTAAATTACATTAACGCACTAGCTGTCACCCGTGACTCCGTCCGATCTGAGTTAAAAAAAAAGTTAGTTCTACATCTGTGCAAAATTTCAGCAAAATCCATGAAGCCGTTCAGAAGATACCTTCAAACATACATCTAAACATTCACATTTATATTATTAGTAAGATTATTAAATTTTCCCTTTATTTAGTTCTTTTAATTGAAAATCAAGTACTAAAATCAAATTTATAAGTTTTTAATTTTTTTTTTGAAATAAAGTTGATTTTGACACGAATCTTGCTCATTTATTGCTTAATGGTGTCCCACGACATATCTGTTCTTTAGTCACGCAATCTAGTTATTGTATTAGCAAAAATATTCGTCGGTAATGCGTGAGTGCCTTTGCTTTATTATCTCTTTGTGTCCTTTCTATTTATATTGTGTACTTATTAGATATTTTTATTAGTTAGTATGTGGATAGGATGTCTATCAAACATTACTTCACACCGGATCTGAAGTGACACTGCATAATTTTGAAACTGTGATTTTTATATTTCTTTTTTTTATAGATTTTTAGACCTGAGCATGTTGTGATGCAACTGAAATTTATTTTACGCCTTTTAAAACTTATTATACTAGTGTCATATTCAATATAAAATTTTGATATTTGTCATCACAACATGACTTGTGACACCTCGAGTAATGTTTTCGGGTACCATTTAGATTATTTTTAATGGAAAGAAGTATCCGATATACAACTTATTTATATATCTTTCTATTTGAGAATATTCCAATCATATTTCTATCAGATAGATCCACTCAGGTGCTATTCACTGGTTGTGATATCCTTCTTTCCTTAATTTTCGTCCAGTATTTGTCAAGGGAGATAGCATTTTCAGAAATGTGCCATCAGTCCAGTATTAAAAAAATGCTTATCCTTTGACTTATTTTTCATAATAACCACAACTTTTTTCATAGTCAAAATAAGATTTTTTTTAAATATGTAAAACGTTAAGCTAGTTGTTTCTTTGCCTTAGTTAATTATAATTATATTTAGGCTTTCGTATTTGAAAGTTTTTTTTTTCTTATTTTATTTAAGATGATTTGCACTTGTGTCCTTGTGGATTTCAAAACGGGCAGACGTATGCCGTTTACGTATTATCACGCTTCTTTACACGAAATTTGATTTTAAGTTTCAAAATGCTATTCTCATATTATTATTATTTTTATAAAGAATTTTATATAAGCTATGTTTGTGTAAGATATTGTTTAAAATTGTTGATTGTAAATATTAAATGCATTTTCAGAAAATATACATGCAATAAATTGTCTGAAATTATAAAAAAAAAGTGTTGAGTTTTCTTTTAGCTGATCGCGTATAATGTAAATGTAAATTGTACAATGATTAAGTTGATGCCGTGTAGTCATTAGGTCAGTTGTAGCCTCACACGACTAACATTCCACAAGGCCAAGTCCCCGTTTGTTCAATATTTACCAAGTGCACTATCATAACTGCTATCGTCACAATTTGCAGAATATTTGTAATTATATATCTATATTATATAAGTCACTAACATGCAAATATGTAATGAAATACGTCCACAGACTAATTAACAATTATTTAAACGAATGCTATTATATACAATTATTGATTATTATGTGCGATGTTTTGAATAACTTACATACTTGCATCTGGGTGCTATGGTTATACAAGTGATTAAATATACTATGCTTGTCTGGGCACTGCTTGACTACATGACTAAGCCACGATACATCGTCTGTCTCAAGCATTGCCCCTTTGGGAACTATTGGGCATTTAATCCTATATCGTAGATCATATCACACTAAATTATTTAACATATATTTTTTTTTCAACCATTAACTACGTAAACTAATTAATTAAATTTTATACAGTGTATATTAACCGGGCCGCAAACAGTGAGAATATAATGTCTCGGCACGAATGCCTGATAGCCTCCCGACAATTTTTTTTAATTAAATTATTTTATTGATCGATTTTTATCTATTTTTTTAAATTCCGTACACCGGTCATATCAATCCGAGATCACGTTTTATCGCTTTTATTAGCTGCATGTCTTTTGAACACATGTAAAAGACAGTCATGTGATCAAGGTCAAACGCGCTGCCAGTCCACTTTGACATTTAACTTGGTAAAGCGCTCCATTCATTTAAAATATTATAGTAATTTTATAGTTCGCGGTATCGGGTATCGGCAGCTTGAAAGCGCTGGAACTAGAGCTCGCGATTGAGGCTAGAGGTGTTATCGGACCATGACATTGTTGAACTAACATTCTGTTTTCTCTCTTCTCGTTAACCCCGCTAGGTGAGTGCTAACGGAGCAGTGGCACTAACAGGAGACGCGGCCGCGGATCCACGCCCCTGGCACCGCCATGCCACCGCAATGCCACTCGCCACCGCCGCGTAACCCTACCATCGGAACATCGATCACCGTAGCTATATCGTTGGGCCTTTCACGTTAACATATACTATGTATTTAATAGTCTAACTATTAACATTTATATGCCTGTTATGTTTATAACATAATGAACTTTATTAACATTTTATATTTGTGGCGAAATGGCACACGCCATCGACTTATTTACTTATTGTATCACTTGAACGTTTTTGGTTGTTACAATTTTAGGTTACCCGTGTCCTTTGACGGCGCTAAATTTATAATAGTTAAGTATTTATCATAAGTTTATAAGAGATCTTTATTATTCATTAATACTTACATATTTTTTTTATAAAATTTCGAATAATTGTTTGAAAAATATAATTTAGCGCCGTCTTTAAATTTTATTTAATTAATTCGCTGTTACAAGATGGCGGATGCTCTTATGTGTACTTTGTAGTTTAAAAATAGAAAAGTTTTTTTGTTTTTTAATTTAAGCACAACAAAAAACTAACATAATGTTATACTATACATGAAATAAAAAAAAATCATTTTACAGTTTTAGCGAGAGGTTAAAAAATATTCTAGGTTTAAATTATGATTTTATAACTTCTTTTTCTCTGAAAATATCTTAGCCTTTTCATCTTTACCTATTTATATTTCACAAAAATAAATCTTAGTTAAAGTCTATAGAATAAAAACAAGTACAAATTGAACACAGTCTATGGTAAATGCTGCCAACTTAACAACTAGTTGAAATTTTAAGAAGATGGCAACACTGATTTCACCAGCTAATTACGAAGAAACATAATGTAAGTATGTATTACAAGATGCTTTGCTTTTTCTATTCAAATAAATTAAATTTAAGTTACACTCATCGACTTATCAACTTTCAATCATATACAGCAATATATTTTCTAACCTCAAAGCCAAAGAGTAATTTAGGTTTTTTTATTTGAAAATTAAATCAAAAATTATCAAGGTAATGTCTTCCTTTTAACAAAACAATAAAGTTGGTAAGAAGATGATGAAATTTATAACAAGTGCATTATAATAATTGCATTATATTTTTATTTTCTAGTGCTTAATATTTATAAATAATAATATTTTGTGCATACTAAGTGCCTTATCATGTACAATGTTTTCACCTAAACGGTTCTATACAAATTGTTATACGCTATTTAAGTAAAGTTAGAAGAGATTAAATTATTGTTAACTTTTTTAAATGTTAATGAATAAATCATATTGAAATTGATTGAAAGGTATACAGCAGATATTTAATCTCGATATTTTTTTATAGTTTTTATTTAGATTTGTGTTTAGTATGAAATAGGATTGTAGCAATCTCTCTAGGGAATCTCTGGTAGCGTATTTTTATCAAACTGAAAATTAACCAACAAAATCTCTGATATTAAGAGTTACTATGAATACAAAATAACATGAGACTTTAAAAATCCTCTATCATTTTGCATAGATAATGACTCAGTTATCTTTAGATAATTTCACAATCTGAACTTTCCAAGGTCGCTATGACGTCATGAGGTTAAGTCCTATATTAATGTGCACGAGTAGGTTTGGAATTTGATATTTAAAAACTTATCACCGTTATTATAAGTTAAACAAGCTCAGTAAGGGCATTCAGTTTACTAATAATAATTTTTGGAGTTAATTCCA